GGCCCTCTCCCAGCATCTCTGGGCGGCGCCACGTTGGAACCTCCTCTTCCGAGCTGCTGCTCATCTTGCACCGCAGCAGACAGGAGCTGAAAACGCAGGCGGGTGCTCTCGGGCACAAAACGGCTTGCAGACAACCAGAAACAGTTCTGAAAACTCTCTACGTACAGCTTGCATCCGGGCTTCCCTCGCGAGCTGGGACCCAAAACCCGAACCTTGCTGAAATCTACATCCCAACCTTTCTTCATAAGGAGGCCCAGAGACAGAAGGCTATACCGCACAGGCGCGATTAAAGCTTCAAAAGTCACCGGCACCGAACCTGAAGGAGGAGATCCGTTGCTCGAGGCCAAGGCCAACCTAACCACGCCTTCTAATCTGAATGTCCTCCCCGGTTGCCGTGACACAGCCAACACCGCTATCACCCAATGCTTCCAAAAACTCTGCAGACCCACTGGAAAACATGCTCTCAGCAATCAGATGCACAGAGGCTCCTGAGTCGAGCAAGACATGGTCCACCTCCTCTCCATGGGCGGCGGCGCGGGCAACTGCAGAAACATGATGCACATGAGGAAGCATGCTGTTGTTGTGTTGGGTGTTCTCGGTGCTGCTGGCTACTGCTGCTACGTGCTGTACAGGACCCTCGCTGGCACGCGGAAACCCTGGACCCTCATCACGCAAACCCTGGTCGCCGGAACCCTGGTCTTCCACCACAGGCTCTTCCAAAACACTGTTCTGAAAATTCTCCCAATCACAATCGGAAAAATCAAGCGACGTCTCGGAGAAACTGTCTTCCTCCCTATCATGAATCACGTGATGCACAGCGGCACACAACTCCGGCTCCATCAAAACCGTGGCTGCCCTGTTGTTCTGATCCTTCCCTTGGTTTCCCTTACCTTGCTTCCCTGCAGCACCCTGAGCCTGAGCAACCAAAGGACAATCCCTTGCAAAGTGGCCGACCTCTTGGCAAACATAACACTTCTTCTGCGTGCCGTTCCCTGGGGGCGGTGTCACCGCCGCTCCTTGGTCCTTCCCTTTGCCACCCTTCGGGGTTTCCTTCCCATTGCTCTTTTTGTCCTTGCCTTCTTTCTGGTCCTTTCCTTTTCCTTTCTTTCCTTCCTTTCCTTTGTCCTTTCCTTTTCCTTTGTCCTTTCCTTTGTCCTTTCCTTTTCCTTTCTCCTTCTCAAACTGAAGCTGATTTGCATGATCCCCCTTCCCGCCAGGCTTCTCCTGGAACATCAAGATCTTCAAATTCGCATCATAAAACTTGAGTGCGGTCTCCAACTGATCAATAGAATCAATCTTGGCATGAAGCAAGACATACTTCTTCACTTCGGTATCCAGATTCCTAAGCATTACCATGCACCTGTCTGCCTCGGTCAACCCTAAGTCCCCAAACGCTGCCGTGAGTCGCTGGTACTTGGCCAGCTCAACCTGCACACAGCGAAAGACCTCGAGGGGCCTCACAGAACCCTTGGGCACAGTGAACTTCAGGATCTCTTCCCTCAGCGAACTAGCTTCTATCCTGCTACACACACTGAGCTCAGAATGGAGTCGCCTCATAGCTTCATATCCCGCAGGTGCGCCAAGCTGCTCCTTCTCAACCTGCTTCAAAACATCGAGACCCCTTGGGTAGGCCCCAAAACTCTGACGCAGATAAAGGAAAACCCTTGTGCTTCTCACGCTCTCACCCCTCGACAAACTGCTGTTCTGGATGGTGCTGTCCTTGGTCATATAGGCTTGAATCTCCCCTGGGATACGGTCATCAAACATTGCTAGCCATGGAAGGAAAACTTCCAGGTACTCAACCCAGGTTTCAATCTCAGCCCTTCTGCCCTTTGCCATCCTAGTCCCATCCAAAGAAGGCAGCTTCGGGATGTAAGCTTCAGCCTTGGGGTTCCTTATAGGAGCACCCTCGTCAACATCCATGGAAGAACCAGAGATGTCGGACAGGCTTCCATTCCCTTTTCCCTTGGTCTCCCTCTGGCTTTCCCTCGACACCAAACCCTCAACTAGCGTGACCATTTGGCTGATCTGCTTCTGCTGCTCCTGCACCGTATGCATCAACAGCGTTTCCATGTGTGAAGGCGCCGCGCCCTGAGCGCTCGGCACTGGTGACGGTACTAACCCCGGTGGAACCGTAAAGGAGCCAGTAGGAGGAACCGGAGTTCCAGGCTGTGACCCCGCAGGAGACCCAGTTGGGTGGAACCCTGGTGGCGACCCTGCAGCGGAAAGGTGGGATATTGGGCTGTAAGCAGGTCTGATCCGCCCCGGGGACGGGACATAGCCGGCGCGAAGCGCGCGAAGCCGCGCGAAGCGCGCGCGCGAAGCGCGGGCGCGCGAAGCCGCGCGAAGTCGGCGCGAGGCGCGCAAGGCGCGCGAGGCGCGCGAAGTCGCGCGAAGCGCGCGCGAAGCGCAGGCGCGCGAAGATGCGCGAAGCGCGGGCGCGCGGGCGCGCGAAGCCGCGCGAAGCCGGCGCGAACGAGGCGCGCGAAGGCGCGAAGCACGCGCGAAGCCACGCGAAGCGCGGGCGCGCGAAGCGCGCGAAGCCGCGCGAAGCCGCGCGAAGCAGGCGCGAGGCGCGCGAAGCGCGCGAAGCCGCGCGAAGCGCGCGCGAAGCGCGGGCGCGCGAAGCACGCGCGAAGCCGCGCGAAGCGCGCGAAGCCGTGCGAAGCCGCGCGAAGCGGCGCGAAGCCGGGCGCGCGCACACGCACGAAGCCTCGCGAAGCAGCCTGCGCGAAGCCGCGCGAAGCCACGCGAAGCGCGCGAAGCCGCCTAAAGCCGCGCGAAACCGAGCGCGCGCAGGGGCACGCGCGAGGCCATGCGAAGCAGCCCGCGCGAAGCCGCGCGCGCAGGTGTTCGCACGCAGAGTGCGCGCAGGTGCACGCACGAAGCCACGCGAAGCAGCCCGCGCGCCAAGCTGCGTGAAGCCGTGCGAAGCCGCGGGCGAAGGTGCGCGCACGCAGGTGCGCAAAGCCGGCGTCTGGTGCGCGAAGCCGCACGAAACATACCCAGATGCGCGCGCGAAGCATGCGCCAAGTCACGCGAAGCATGCTCTCGTGAAGCCGCGCGAAGCCGGCGCGAGCCGCGCAAAGCACGTGCGAAGCCACGCCAGCAGCCTGCATGCGCTTCGCTTCGCGCGAAGCCGCATGTGTATGTGCATGTGTGTCTGTGGTGATTTATATATGTATGTATTTATTATGTATGTATGAAATCCCCTCATCCGTTTAATAAAACGACGATCCATCGCTGGCCGCGAAGGTGCAAAACAAAACAAGCGAGCTCTGAATCTGCCTGCACAGGGAGTGAAGCTGACACGTGGGAGAGACAGAAAGTGATCGAGTCTGTAGAGGGCAACCACATCACTACCCAACATAGCTCGGTGGGGTGAGCGACAAGGAACATCATCAAGATCAAATCCCCACGCAAGTAGTAGTAGCAGTAGTTGTAGTAGTAGCAGCAGTAGCAGTAGTGGTAAGTAGCACGACATCAAGGGAGCTGGTGCTTGCCTCTTCGAGCATATCAGTCATAGGGTCAATCGAGTCAGTTTCACACCAAGCGCGTGCACCGCGGCAATCGCCCGCAATGTGCTGAGCCCGGTCGCACAGCGTTCAATTGAAAATAGTGGTGGTACTGTGGATGGAGGAAATCTTGCACCACTTTTAAGATATGTTAGTTAGCTTCACCCCGGGCCCCCTTCTTAACATTGCTATGAACACGGGGATTTACAAAATCGTTCCAATGACATAAATCTTGCACCGCCCCAAGAGGTCTGTCGTCAATGTTAAGAAGGGGGCGCGGGGTTGTTGCTTGGATGTGTATTCGAAACAAGATGTGTAGGTGGTGCAAGATTTCCTCCATCCACCGACTCGAGTAATGACGTTTCTAGAGGCTCGTGATATGACGTTTCTAGAGGGTCGTGACATGGTGCGTGACGTACTTGTGTGGCTTGCCATGAAATGCCATTGCAGCAAAATCTGAATCGCCGTATAGCAGCGTCCATGTCCCTGTCTTCGCTAATGGAGCCATGCAGCCCTGACAGTGCATCTTGCGCAGCAGCCAGGTCATTCTAAAATCGCAAGAATTCCACAACTTTGCTACATTTGGTAGGAATTTGCAGTTAACGTACAGTCAACGTTCAGTCAACGTTTAGTCAACGTTACAGTCAACGTTCCAGTTAACGTTGCGAAAATGCTGGCAGGGGCAGCATTTTGGAGTTTTCAAGCATAAAAAGCAAGAAATACATGTATTTCCCCCCGCACCCCCCACACACCCCCTCCACCCCGCAACACCCCCACACCCGGCCCCCCGCACCGTTGAAATAAGTACAACAGAGCATAGAAATCATGGTATAAAATGAATCATTATTATGCATTGAATAATATATACATATATATATATATATATACATATATATATATATGTATATATATATATACATACATATATACATATGTGTATATTTACGCATACATACATACATACATGCATGCATACATACATGCGCATGCACATGCACATGCACATGCACATGCACATGCACATGCACATGCACATGCACATGCAGTAGTAGGTGTAACAAAAAACTTATGCTAAGCCACCAGGCCTAAACTCGACATGCATTCACACAAAATAAGCTCACGTTAGCAGTGCTCTCAATGGACATGAACCAGCTTTGGCATTTGACGTTCGGATTGTATTATGCTTCTTGTTGCTCCTGGAGCTATTCAGCTGCGCCACAGCTGGGCGGTGCGACAATGGATGCATCACGGAGGCACAGTTTACTCACAACCCGCCAAACCTCAACCCCGAATCCTAACATCTTTTACATCCTGTAATAACTGCGACTGCAGACCCAACACTTTTCGGCACCATGCAGCATGTAGTTGTTGGCACGCTTGCTGCTAGGTTTATCCTTTTTGAAGCTTGGGATCTCTGGACGAACCCATTAGCAGCATCACAGCGCAGTTGTAGAGGCCTGCCCGAAGCATAGTCTCTTCGCTGCTATGCGGTGTATGGTTGCCGATTGCCAGCAGACCGCCGGGAGCAATCCCCTCAGGGCCGCTGGCAAAGCAGCCGGCGTGCAGCTGGGCTGGTGGACGGCCGGGACCGCACTCCTGTGCCTTGCACATGTAGATGTATATACGCAGACGCATTGTATAATTTTTGGACCTGTCGGTCGGCGGACATGTTGGCAGGATAAAAACCTTCAAGTCAAAAAATAAAGTTGCAGCCATTACTGCCGCCAGCGCCGTCCAAGTGTCAGTTTCCGCACTGTGGAGTTTGGTTTCCAAGTAATCAGCAATGTCAAACCGCGACTGGTCTGCCAACGATTTCAAATCCCTCTTACGACGCCTAAACTCCCCCCACCATTCGCGCAGGAAGAAGAAGTGCTATGTGTGCGATACGCATCGCTCCTCCGCATCGCGCAAGGCCGAGCCCATTTCGATATGTGCTCACGGTTTGTAACAGTTGCCCCGTGTCCATGTGTGAGCCAGCATTGCACTTTCACAGATGTGCACCGGGAGCCGAGCCCCCCAGCTAGCCACGAGCATCTCCACTGCAGCATAGCCAAAGGCCAATACGCCGACGACAGCTCTCACTGCAGAGGAGGCCACCTGACACGCGGACCCCAGCAACGTGAAGAGTAACATGAACTGAGTTGCAGCGCTTTCGCAGTTTGGGTTGTTTCGTGTCGGCCACGCATGAAGAGAACAGGCCCATGAGACTCTGCGCGGCTTTCTGGAGACCTTGCAAACTTCTCTTCCAAGCAATGCCCGCATTTACTACAACCAGCGGTGCCACGAGCCTCGCAGCAACTCGGCAAGATTTTTTCAATATTGTTTCGCAACTACGGTCGCAGATTGCTGTAGGGCTTTGGACGCCTTGTGTCAAATGCAGGCGTGGCACGCCATGGTGGGCAGAAAGAACGTGCGAGGATCGTACCAGTCGCTGTCTAAACACGCGACGCATGCTGCCGCGCTGCAAGCGACAGTGGCAGCGCTACGCAACCACAAGATCGAGGCGCAGCGCGGCCCACGCCAGTGCGGGTAGTAATTGGTAATAATAGCATGATAGCAACAACACCTGCACCAGGAATGATACCGTTGGTGAATTGGCAGCCCAAGCTTCGAGATATTCCTGTTGTGCAGTAGTACATGAAGATGATGAACTTTGTGCCCCGAAACGCTAGACCGCAAGGCCTATCGCACACTGCCATGCATGCAGGCAGCCGTGCCATGCGCTGCTGACGAGCCTGTTCCGGATGCCAATCCTGCAGGCCAGTCTTGCAACCGACTTGATTTTCTTTGGAAGCCCTTTCTAACTCTTAGCCTTCATGCCACGACGCACAGGCGACCTTGTGCCATCTGCGCAGCCGACGGCGAACGAGAATCACCAGATCGAGGCGCAGCGCGGCCCACGCCAGTGCGGGTAGTAATTGGTAGTACTAGCATGCTAGCAACAACACCTGCCCCAGAAATGATACCGTTGGCGAATTGGCAGCCCAAGCTTCGAGTATATGCCTCTTTAGCAGTAGTACATAAAGATGATGAACCTCGAGCCCCAAAACTCTAGACCGCAAGGCCTATCGCACACTGCCATACGTGCAGGCAGCCGTGCCATGCGTTGCTGACGAGCCTGTTCCGGATGCCAATCCTGCAGGCCAGTCTTGCAACCGACTTGATTTTCTTTGGAAGCCCTTTCTAACTCTTAGCCTTCATGCCACGACGCACAGGCGACCTTGTGCCATCTGCGCAGCCGACGGCGAACGAGAATCACCAGATCGAGGCGCAGCGCGGCCCACGCCAGTGCGGGTAGTAATTGGTAGTACTAGCATGCTAGTAACAACACCTGCCCCAGAAATGATACCGTTGGTGAATTGGCAGCCCAAGCTTCGAGTATATGCCTCTTTAGCAGTAGTACATAAAGATGATGAACTTTGGGCCCCAACACTCTTAGACCGCAAGGCGTAAACCCTGAACCCCGAATCGAAACCCCGAATACTAAACTCCCTCGGAAGAAGGCTTGGGTCGCTACGTGAAGATCTCACCGCGCTGTCGGACCAAGGGACGGCCATCGTGGAAAAGGCACCAACCTACGGAGAGGGTTGAAGTTCGGTTAAGGCGAGTCAAGTATCTCACGGAAATGGCCACAAGCTCCCAATTCCTAAACCCTAAACCCTAACCCAAATCCTAACCTCCACTACCGTTGACCCCGAAGGCGGTGACCTGGGCGATGACCGTGGGCGTGGCCAGCAACCCCGAGTGGTATCCAGGGCTCTCGGCTTCCTCCAGCTTCGAGGAGCTTTTCGGATTTGTTTTGTGTGTTTTTGGGGGGTTTAGGGTTTGGGGGAGGAGCTTTCGGGGTTGAGCGTTTGGGGTTTTGGGTTGCAGGTTTGGGGGTTTAGGGTTTTAGTCGGGGTTTGTAGGTTGTACGGGGGTTCTAGGGTTCAGCAGGTCGTCCGGTGTCAAGGCCCTCGGCTCTAAGTTACCACAAAAGGAGAAGCACATCGTTCACTATGTGCAGATTATGTATACACATAGATAGTACCAGTATGACGTCAGAGTTACCACAAAAGATGAAGCACATCGTTTACTATGTGCAGAATATGTATACACGCAGATAGTAGCAGTATGACGTCAGAGTCTTATCATGCGATCATACATAAACCCCAAACTCTATACTCTATATCATAAAACCTTGGACCGTTAAATTCTATACCCCAAAAGCCCAAAAGCGCGAACGCGTCAGATCCCCTTCGTTTGTCCTCTTCGAGCTCTTGTGGGCCACAGAGGCGGAAAGCCCCGGGAAGAAACCGATTCACAGGAGTTCCAGGATTTCTTCTTCGAGACGCAGCTCAACAATCAGGTGCCTGGTGTAGGGCTCTTGTTCAAGGGTTCTAACCAACACGGCTTCCAAATGATGGCTTTGCCCTAGTCAGGGCGTGCGCAACTTCCGCGTCATCAACGTGGGCGGTTGGGCCAACACGGCGCTGGAAGCCATCGACCTCGCCGCGGCGGGTCGTGAGGAGACCTTGTGCTTCAAAGGAAGATAGTCCTCCCACGACCCCAAGCCTGTGGAAGAGAAGCCCCAAATCACGAAGTCAGACTCCTTGATCACCGTTAGGGTCTCTGGGGTTTTGAGTACTTAGAACCCCAGTGCAAAGCCCCCCCCAAAAGGAGCCTACGTCGGTACAGATCACGAGCCTCTTTTTCGATTCGCCTGCAACGTGCGACGCTTGGTCCAGCATGGTGGGTGTTCCTTCGGAGGCCTCAAAAGGTGGGATGAAGGTGGGTAGGATCAAGGATCCCTTATGTAAGGATTCTCATTTGGGAATATCCCACCTACCTTCATCCCTCCGATTCCTGCGGACTGAAAGCCTCATAAAGCTCTTGGGGTGATACAGTAAAACCTAAACCCTAAGTCAGTCAGTCCCAAGCCCATAAGCCCCTAGGCGCAAAACCCTACCTTAGATGGCAGGGTTTAGTTCAGGGTTAAGGGGTTTAGGGCTTTGGAGTTTAGAGTTTGAAACAGTTTTGGTTTCGGGGTTCTCAAGGTTTCAGGTTCTAGGCAAGGCTTGGGATTGCTTGGGGTTTTAGGGTTCCGGGTTTGGGGCAGCTGATGCGCTGTAACATGTAGAGGTCTGAGCAATCATTACTAGCAACTGGTAGTAAGCTAGTGAATTGGTTCTACTTCTCGAGGGCCCCGTATGTCAGGACAGTTTGCCATCCTGGATGGACTTCTCCATGTCCGTTGCCCTCGAGAAACTCGCGAAGCTGTCGCACGTTTCACGGCTTCTGGTGCAGATCGACACTTGCAGTATCTGCCAGTCCTCACCGTTGTAGCTGGGACCAAGAACCAACAAAAACGCTAGTCTTAGTAGCAGTTCCTACCCTAAACCCTAAACCCCTACCCCTTTCTATTCAGTAGTCCTAAAGTCTCTTAAACCCTCGATCCGAATCATAAACTGCGTCTGTGAGCCTGAACCCCTACACTCCTAAACTAAACCAAACCCCTAAGCCCCTAAACCCCTAAACACCTAAACCTGCAAACCCTAACCCAAAACCCTGAGCCCTAATCCCTAAACCCTAAACCCTGATCCCTAAACCCTAAACCCCCAAACCCTAACCCAAAACCCTGAACTTTCAAAGGCAAGGGCAAGCCCGCTCTGCCCGAGCTCCTGAACCTGGCGTCGCAGTCCTCGCAGCGAGCGCTGGACTGCACCTCCGAGGCCGCTTTGATAGGTAGTATTATTAGGGAGACCTCTTAAAGGGTACCCCTTCTGAACCCTACTTCTGGCTCTCTTAAAAGGGGCCTCATTCAGAGGGTCTATATCCCCAAGGGTCCCCCTAATCCTAACTCCCATTTGAGCTCTGGAGGCTTCTTCCAGCACCCCTTTTTGCAGAGGGTTTAATAAGGTCCGAGGTAGCATGAGGAGACCTGTCTTTCGGTCCTCTCACCTGTGAAGCTCCTAGACCCACACACTGGAGCTAATCTTGAGATCAAGTGCTCAGGTTTGGGCTGTGAGGTTCCTGAAGCTGGATAGGTGGGAAGACCACGGCGAGGGATCGTCAATCTTACGTGGGTGGTTGTCAAAATTAGGGTCATTTTGACAATACCCTAAATAATAGGTGCCGTATTATATTAGGGATCTAACAAGGGACCATAATTTTGACAACTACCCATGTACGTGTTCCGTTGCCTTTTAGCAGTAATCCTAAACCCTACACCAAGTGGTTCCAGAAACCTGGCTTGTGGCATCAGCCTGCCGTGATGTCACAGCCTGTCCATGCAGGTCGGCCGATTCCTGCGCCAGCACCGTCATTTGCCCCAGGCCTGACAAGCCACTAAGTAACATGTTTCAAACAAGGTCAGAATAGTGGCTTCGTGTTTCTTTTACGGCTCAGGGTTTAGGGTATCGGACTAGTTGCTTCTTTTTTCCTTAAAGAAGTCTTTTGGCGGTCCGAGCACTGCCGGGCAGTTCTGCGCGCAACCCCGTAACCTGCCCTAAACCCAGCCGATAACCCCAAGCCTTGAACTCGCTCTAAGGGCACAACCAAATCATAGGAGGGCCTATGGGGGTTTAGTAGGGATTAGGGCTAATCCGTACCTCAAGAATCTTAACCCCCCTTCTGGCCTCCCATCATACAACTCTACCCTTCAAGCTCCGCCGCTCCTGCACTTCCACAGAATGCTCCCGAGTTTGTCCCCCAGGCACAACAACCGCAGGCGAGAACATGCTGTTAGGTTCGCCTAAGAGCTCCTAGTGCATGTGTCCCGAGAAAAGATACTATACTTGAAATTTGGGTTTGGGATTTCTGGGTTTTGGGGTTTGGGGATGTTTGGGGTTGAGGGTTTAGGGCTTACTTGCAGGTTCATAGGACTTAGTAAGTACAGTTATAAGTACCTCAACTGGGGTTGTAAGTAATTATACGTATAGTTGCCTTATATTTAGATAGATCCCCTAAACCCCGAACCCCATAGGGGCGCAGGGCTAAGGGTGAGGCTTTATATGAGTAGGAAGTCTGAGACTACGTGGCACTTGGACGTCGTAATTTCGTATGTCGTATGTATCGCACTGTGGACATTGCTGGTTCAGAGTTTAGGTGCGGGAATTTGTTCACTGTCTTTTGCTGTATCACAGCCAACTTCGAGCAGTCTGCGCCCTTCCAGGACGCTAAGCTTTAGTCTTGGCCCTCCAAAATTATGCCCTATCAGCCCAGGGCCCTACAGCCTTAGACTTTACTGAACCCTGCCAGCCCCAAGCCTAAACCCCAGTGACACCCCTATAAACCCCATGAGACCCGATGAAACCGTGCTTTCATTGCATGCAGGGTAGACTTTGTAGAGGGATCGTAGAGTGCTAGCCGCTCAACCCTCTTTATCCTACATGCCCCAAGCCACAATCCCTCACCCCTGGATCCCAATGAAGCCTTGGAGCCCTGAGCCCTACACTCCAGAGTCTAAAGCCTATGTTTCTAAAACCATGGGCCCGAACAACTGGGCTGGCAGGCGGTGGAGAA